CTCCAATTTTGGAGTCATTTCAAATCCATCACTATTGCTCCAAAATCACTAAAAAGGAGGGGTGGAGATTTGAAATCCATGACTATGGGCTACTACGGTTTCCTACGGATTTCTATAGAAGAGACTACGGCCGACAAAAATTAAAAAAAATCATAATTTTCAATATTATGTAGAAAAAAATTGGAAAAAATACGAAAATGCAGAAAAAAAATTGTTCTACGAAAAAAAATAATAACAAAAATGCTAGATGCGAAAATAAAAATGTTAAATGCATAATGAAAAAATGATAAATACAGTTTAAATATTACTTGGTGCATATTTCATTTTTTGTATATATGTGGGGGCATTTTTGGAATGAAATTTATAAAGGATGTGAAGCAAATGTTTAGTTAGACTTGTCATTTAGTTCAAATAAGTTTTGTTACTGAGGACCTATATCTTAAAGCCCCTAAAAATAAACACTAAAATAGAAAAAAAAAATGACCTGCGTTTTCTAAAAGTCATCCTGTATTTATCATCAGATAATATAAAAAGAAGGGCTAAATACACTTTGCACCCCTGAAGTATAGTTCATGTAACACTTACCCCCTTAAAGTATCATTTGTAACACTTACCCCCCTCAACATCAATTATTTTATACTTTAAAATTTAAAAAATAATAAACATAACAATCTAATAATTAACGGTTCATAGAAAATTGAAAAGTAACTAAAATTAATTATTGAAAAAAAATTAAAAAGTAATATATATTGGGTAATAATGAATGAAAATATATTTAAATAATTAATAAACTAAAATAAATTTAAATACTTAAGATTTTTATTAGTTATGTATTGATTTCTTAAAATTTATCGATAGAGTATTTTGATTAATTGGTCCAACAACAATTAGATGTTACTTATTGAAAAAGTATCCAACGCAAGATAATAGTTTCAAATTTTAAAATATTGTATTTTTTAACAGATATTTTTAGTTGTATAATTTAATTATTCTTTTAGTTATTCCTTTCAATAAAATATTTTTTTAAGGTATTAAAATTTAAAAATACAAATTAAATTGTGTTTGAGGGTAAGTGTTACAAATGATACTTTAAGGGGGTAAGTGTTATATACTTTAGGGGTGCAAACTATATTTAATCCTAAAAAGAAAAGTTATTATACACATAGAGAACACTAAGCGCACCAAAATTGATAGTGCACTTGCATGGCTGCCAATTGTCACAACCAGACATAAACACAAAGCCAGTAGTTCGTAGCATAAATCGGATCGTACAAGAACGTATGCAGATAATACTAAAATCAAAATCATATATTTGACCCAAACAGCAAATTATATATTCATACATAACCATCCAAATATATATATATATATAATCAGTAGTGGGAGATGGCAGATACTCCAGCTGCAAACAGTACGGTGAGGAAGCATCTTTCACGCATTTCCAACGACGTTCTTCGAAAATGTGCCCTGTAAGTCACTAATCCCTTTTTTTTCTCTCTCTAGGTTTTGCTTTTTTTTTTTTTTTAAATAAATTACGAAAGGGGGGAATTATATTAAGTGAAAATTACCTGCAATTAATCGCCCAACAGGAAGCTCGACACCGGTGCGGAAACACTGGTGGAAGAATTCGAGAAGGAATGGGGCCCACAAGTGGGGGATTACTCGAAGAAATTGGTCGAATTTTGCTGCTCAAAAGCACTTTCAGCAATGTGCGGCGCAATTGACGAAACGATAAGCGACGGTTCGTTCAGCCGGTTCACCTTCGATATGATGCTTGCTTGGGAAATGCCTACGTCAGCAGATGAAGAATCTCACAATGTGAGGAAATTAATTATTTTATTATTATTTCTTTTTTTGCATTTATTTGTTAATTTTAATTTAATTAATTTTTTTTTTTTTTTTTTTTTTTTTGGGTTGGAAGGAGTGTGTGGCTAAAGAGAAAGAAGAGAAGGTTTCGACTGCGGCCGACCAATTACACGACGATGTATCGCTTTTCTACTCCGATTTGATGCCTCTCCTTGTAAGTAGCTTTGGTTTCGATTTCAAGGCCTTGTGTTGGAAGTTTGGATTATGATTGATATGCAGTTTTATTGGAAAAATTACGGGTTTCATCTCGCAAGTGTACCGATTTCATATTTGGTCCTCATGTTCACAAAAAAACACATTTGGTCCCTCATGTTTTAATAATTTCATTTTTGGTCATTTCCGTCAATACCCTCTGTCAATTTACCCTCAATTTACCCTCAGTCAGTTAAGGTGGTTCCGTCAGTTAAGGTGGTGATAGGCACGTGTGTGCTGATGTACTAACATAAAATTGACAAAAAGGACTGAAAGTGTTGAATTTTTGAAATATTAGGGACTAAATGTGTTTTTTTATTGAATATGAAGGACCAAATAGGAAATTGGTGCAGATTTAAGGGATGAAAACTACATTTTTCCACAATTTTATTCAAAGATTAATCAAGTATATGAAGGATACAAAGATTAATCAAGTATATGAAGGATAATTACTCCAAACCTGACTATGGATACTACGAATGCAAGGATTGTATAGTCACGAATATAAGTTAATCGTGTGTTACATTATCGAGGGAAATGTAGTTCTGACCAATTCAAGTAATCTTATCAATCTCATCAATTTCAATTCAATTAATCTTATGGAGGCCTAAGAATATTGTTCGGAAAAAAAAATCGAGTAATGAAGGTGACTTTTGTTGGTATAGGTGGATAGAGAGCCAAGTGCAGGAGAAGATGCATTTGTATGGCTAGGAACACTTGTTCCTTTAGTAGTCGACATGGTCAACGGGAGATTACTTTCGAGACATTGACCGCACCCACCGGGAATCGGCTTCACTTTCCGGCTTACGACAAGTTTTTGAAAGAAATTCACGGGTACATATATCTAAAATTCCATATTGTTTGCTTAACGGCAATAAGGTTCGAAATCCTTCTCTTACTTTTTAATTTAATTTGTAACCTTCTTTTTATATATATATTTGTTAGATGCATAAAGCATTTACAGACGCAAGAAACTCCAACGGGGGTAGTGCTAGCTGACGATGAATTTATATTGCATGTCGAAGGAACCGCAAGTTCACAGAGAGTGATTCGTCATATCGGTGGGACCAGTTGGCCTGGTAAGCGGGCTATATATTTTTATCCGTTTTTCACTACAATAATTCGTGTAGAAATTATAACTTTCGGAATTATAAAAAAAAAACTGTTTGTAGGCAGATTGACATTGACAAACTACGCCCTCTACTTCGAGGCATCAGGCATAGTTTCCTACGAAAAAGCACTAAAACTCGACCTTTCGAAAGACACTCAGCAAACTGTGAAACCCATCGCTACTGGTCCATGGGGCGCCCCTCTTTTCGATAAAGCCATAGTATATGAATCTCCTGAAATGTAAGTATATATAAATATTGATTTTTTTTATATCACAATAATAAAAAGGTAATATATATATGATATATATATATTATAGGCAAGAAGGTGTTGTGCTGGAGTTTCCGGAGATGACGAGCTCGACAAGGCGGGACCACTGGCTCGCACTCGTGAAGGAGATCACGTTACTCCACCATTTCCTCACACAGTACAAGGTGGAATCTCCGCTAGAAGTGTGGGAGATGCACTCGAGGGCTATTTTGGGTATTATAAGACTCCACGCGGCGAGAGAGATGCTTCGGATTTCGCCACCCGAGCCTAAAAGCTTTCTAATATTTGCATTGCTTGATGAATTGCCGAAGGGAGATTACGTACTTTACGAGATCGCCGAGAGTCTGAAGAAGAAGCTCACGGGCAGTTCGCACTCGTGCAGCGCCAGCTCGATTTTGAGGAATTTGAATGTTCCTCAACACTGTGTTGTTTCTTGCATTGAGGCGAAAGGGGTTATGGATGAGGGCGAAATCGTCCGGCCCGAAAAGTTGTCGTCGTTGGAGAGTGCTATAAACCAAGCACGAGAGGAAGCTAAGGAAATCGACATTGCTAAATCCACTACCGACGGATTAAAAGAGGAAGGTATAAGCGAAAGCGCTCAAGTTCTTATGGTGAGTAAATACTTTTGATCATATATATCTATTCAATGTAGAGTTTATTGTGTTTAGTTACTCTTAAGTCTTAACTGTCAAAAAACTCCTCGTGTTATAAATATTAGTAAGCATAAGGCCCCCCTATAATTCAATTTTATTAGCATCAGCTGGGGGGTTTTTTCTTCTAATATTTGTAACACTAAGTTCTTTTAGCAATTTGGTATAACATAGGGGTACTAAATGCAATAAAATCATTTGATTCAAGTGGTTTTGTGTTGATTCATTTTGATGTATAGGGGTTGCTAGATCCACTAAAAAGTTTAGTCCCTTGGTCTCGAGCTATTCTCACATGGGAACGGCCTATGGCAACTTGTATAGCGATTGTTCTAACACAGATAGTCATTTACAAGTAAGTAATCGATCGTGATCATGATTTTCATAAATCAGTCAATCTCGTGTTTTTTTTCAATCTGACAATTTTTTTTTTGAATTATGTTGTAATTTAGAGAGTGGTTTGGCAAGGCTATATCGAGTTTCTTGCTGTGGGTGGTTGCAAAGATGCTTCAGGCTAGGCGAAAGGGTATTCTCGAAAAGCAAGATAAAATTATAATACGTACCGGATCGGATCAAACGACGATGGAGAGCATTGTATCGGCACAAATAGGGTTAAGAAGTGTGCACGAAATTATGAGGCAGACGAATATAGCATTGCTCAAAATATGGTCAATACTGGTCTCAAAAGCTCCAAAGGTATAATAATGCATCGCAATTCAAATGGTCATGCTATTTATTTTCTTATCTATTGTTGTATTTCTATTTATTATTCTATTTTTTTTTATTTTTTTTTTTGCAGCATGCAAATACAGTGATGATAGGGCTGAGTGGTTGTGCATTCGTATTGGCTGTGGTCCCGTTTAAGTTAATTTTAGCTGCACTTGTGTTGAACGGTTTCTTGATGACATCGAAGTTTGGAAAGTGTATGCAAAGCGAGCAAGGCAATAGGAGACTGAAGGAATGGTGGGACTCGATTCCTGTTATCCCAGTTGAAATTTTGGACAAGGAAACAAATAAGTCTGAATAATCGGTAGGCGAGTAACTTACATTTTCGCAACTTTATCTCTGTATGTTCTTGTTCATTATTTTATTTCTTTTTTCTGCAATGTTAATTGATTATTAGAACTATTAACAGGTTGATTATGTACTTTACTTATGGAGAAAACTGGATGAATGAAGCCAATGTTTTTGGTGTTGTATTTGTATACATGATAGTAATTTCAATAATAAGTTCAATTCGCAAATCATTTTCGGCGAACGTACATATTATTGGTGTTCTCATGTCGTTTTCGATGCATTGAGTATGAAAAGGAAAAATCAAGCAATACTATTTGGTTCTTTCTCACATTCAGCCGTATTAGTTAATTAAATTAAAATAGTCACCTACATTTAAAGTTAACATTCAAAACCAGAAATCCATAACAATAAAAAGTTGGAGTGATCAAGCGGGGAGACGAAATGCGGGCGCTGTCGTGAAGAAATGCGGGTGGTCCCTTGGTGTGTCGTGAAAGGGCATAACTGGAGACGACCTCGCAACCTTGCCAGAGCCTTCTCAACCATCTGCCTTGGCAGAGCCTTTCGACCACCACCTCAGTCTGCGCATTGCTAATAAGAAATGCGATCGTGTAATTATACATAATAAGAAATGATTGTTTTGATCTAGGTTAATTGAAAATTTCACTAATGGTTAGATTTATAACTTTTCAAAATAATTAAGTGAAAAAAATAATCGAAAAGAAATTAGTACCAAAATGATCTATACTATCTATAAAAGTACCAATGTTATAGTGGTTTCTTCCCTTTTTTGTATGGACAAAAATAACCTTTTAATGTATAAGGTTCTAATGGTAATTATGTAAGTAATAGTTAATATATAGTTCCATATCATTTGTATTTAGAAGAGAATAACGGACAGGCACCCTCATTGCAAACTTTAAAATTCATGTATTTAAAATTTCATATTTACTATGGGTTTAAATGATATTTAACGTGGAAATTCAAAGGTTGTAGTGATTGATATGTATTTTAATTTGAAGAAACTTATGTGATCCCACACATGAGGAAAATAAAATGGTAGATGGAGCTATTTCCTCTTAAAAAATCTCTACGTAAGAAATACTCTGCATCATTAATGTTTTCGTGTTAAGCTTAGTTGAACGAAGAACAAAAGATGTGATCAGCCAGACTTTTATTTGCAAGTTTTCCACAACATGCGGGATATTATATATACAAGGTATTGTACTTGTTCGTATCAATTTCTCATCTTTCAATTGGGTATCATTTTGTCAAATCAATTCTGATATATAGTATTCATATGTACGCGAATCTTGTAATGTTGATCGAATTTTTCTCCCCCTCTTCTCCGATCCTAGGCATGCAAGTGTGAGTACAGTACAGATGCAAAGTGGAAGCTCTTCAATGCTCAAATGAGGAAAATGTAATGTTTAAATGATAGTTTATATATTATTATTATTGAAGCAAACTGAAATAGTTACAACTTAGAATTAATATAACGTAACTAACTGGTTGCGGTAATAGCACATCTCTCTCTATGTATGTGAGTGTGTAAACAATTGTAGTTTAACGAAGAGAGCTTGGTAACATATTCTATGGAACTACTAATACCCAAATAAAAGAAATTAAAAAAAATTACTTTTTATTAGAATATTTATTTAACATATGTAAAAGAGACCAACCCTCATTAGAAGAGTTGGTACATAGCCTTACCAATAGGGTAAATGTCTAGGGTTCTGAGTTCCCACTTCCCCTACTTTCCTTGGTAAACGACTTTAATTTACTCAGAAAAACAAAAAAACAAAAAAAAAAAAAAAAAAAAAAAAAAAAAAAAAAGAAGACATATGTAGAAGATAAACGCGTTATTTAATCAAATGTATTTAATTATTTTTAGTATGATATTATTAAAATACTTATTTAACATCTTTAGAAGATAAAGTGCTATTTGATTGCCCTATATCAAAAGAGTATGAAATCGAAAGACTTACTTTCATTAAATTAAAAAAAGTTATATTATGATCATTATAAAAAGGAGATGGATAAAGAAAACAATAGGATATTTGTTCATTCATTTAAAATTATCGAAGTCAAATGGGGGTAGATGATGATCCAAATGATCCTGTGAGGTGTTCGATGAGGATGATATAGTTTAAGGGAGTAGTTGATGATTTTTATAGGTTTGGAATATTTGATAATAACTCAAACCTGATTTTCAATCTCTCTCTCTCTCTCTCTCCATTTTCGCTACTAATCTATGTGAATTCACAATTTTTTTTTCTATAGTGTTAAAATTTGATTCATTTGTTAATGCAGTAACTGATAATATGTAGTGATTTGGATTATTCACAAACTGGTTTTCCAGAGTTTTTTTTTTTCGAACATCAGATGAATTTATTAACTATTCAAGTTTGTGGTACTGATTTGTTAATTTCTTCATTGTATTGGATAATTCCACAAATGTTTGTTTGAACGTGGTGAAGGCATACATAAATTCTAAAGTAAATGTTCTTCTTTCTATAACGTTTATATGAACATCATGACTCCAAGTTGAATACGTAGAGATACGTGTCTTCATCTATTATCTAATATTTACTTGCTTCATTTCACTTTTCTATGTTCATGTGTTTAAGCTTTCATATGAGGTACATTATAACTCACTCTACGGAGAATGCTCCCATAAAAATGTCATGTCTTGCTTGTTCTCTTTAATATGATTATCGGGGGTAAACAAGATGCAAAAGCAGGCTCATGTGCGCGCTGGAACAATCACAAGCTATGGCTAGAGTAGTGTGTGTCTGTGTTTTTATTGCATCGTTTTTGTATTTGTAGAATGGAAAAAAAAAATTGTCCGAGGTGCATAGATTTCATTTTTCAGGCGAGAGCTGGTTTCGTCTCATGCAAGCCTATCGACAAGAGTACTTGATTCACACCACTTCCAATGCGAACTCACACTAAGCTAGCAAGGCGTTCTTCTATTTTATTAGTGAACAATTAGTTTTTCTTTGGTATCTAAGTATGGAACTAAAATATTGTTTTCTTTTTCATTTTCAGCCAGGGCCAAAGAAATTTAAGGAAACTATTTTTTTTCATTATTTGGGCTCCATCGCAGTTTGTTCGGCTCTTATTAAGCTTCACGGGGCTCTCATTCAAAGCATCAATGTCAATATGGTCACTGGTGAGTGACATATTAATCTCCCTAATTGACGTTGTGGTCATTGAATCGACTCAGTATTAATCTCCCAAATAATGAAGAACTATATTGATTGTTTAGGTTTTGTTTTTCTTTATTCAATTTTGATCTAATATGTTTGATGGAAATATTAATACTTTCAGGTGACACTTCGGCATATATATATGCAGTCTCCATCACCATTCACATTCTGGTAAGTTTGATTTTAGCATTTGAAGCAATAAAAGTTATCCATTTTGTCGATTTTGAATTCATTTCTCTTTAGTACTTTTCGTAGATTTTGCACATTTTATTTTTTACATATTTTGGATCGATGTAGTATATCTCTGTTCTATTTAATATTTTTCTTATGGTTGGTGCCTAAAACTAACTTAAATGAATCAATTGATTTGGATCCATAACTTTCACGTGGATTAGTCCGTTCATCGGCCGTTCATAAACGGCTGTTGAACGCACGATGCGTGATGTGATATGTGGTAGGATTTCACAGATGACCGAGTCCCTATTTATTTTAAAATCACACTCTAATGGACGGTCAACACCGATTTCAATATCGATCTAATCCTTGTATATTAGTTGTTTAGGAAATAATTATCTAGATATTATCTTAGAACTATTTTAGAACATTATATGGAATTCCTACACTACTCTTAAAAGAGTATAGTAGAATACGCACCAAGTGTAGAAGAGGTTTGGGCTCGGGCTTCAGCTTTTGGGGTAGCATTGTTTGGACTAGTCATCAGCTTGGTCGAACAAAATTTGGGCAGCCCTTAACATATAACTCGAGTTAGTCATACTCGATTGAGCTCACCAAAAATCCTAGGCTCAACCTCATACACTCCTACACCGAACTGCCTTAACGAGCTCGAGATTGTATGTAATTACATACCCTCACAGGCCTCACTAAGTTCCTACTAGTACAGACTTTCACTCGTTGCAAGTGGAAGATAACAAATTTTCCCAAACATATTCATGAACAAAAAGTTAAAACCAATCGTGGCATATAACATGATAAATTGCATTTAACCTCCGAAAGTACCAAAATTTAGCATTTTCATCATGAAGATTCAACAAGCCACTAGTAATAAACTACAAGAAAGGCAAAAATAGCTGTTCCTCGGTGATCCTACAGCGAAAAATCAATAATACACTCCCTTCCCCATTTTCCCTTTCTTTTTTTCCCTTTTATCTTCGTCCAGGTTAGCATACACGAGACTATAATAAACTATTTCAAAGTAAATAATCCTTCACTCAACGAAAAGTTGCACTGCGATTGCCTGACGCTGGAAAAGCCTGACGTCTTCTACCCTGTGGGAGATCTGTTGCGGGCCCCTCATCCTTTTCCGATTTAGTTACTGTAGAAACTTTTTTCTTATCTCTCTTATTATTATCGGCCCCTTTTTCCTTTGATTGGCCGACCCCAAATTTCATCTCTTCTCGAGCAGCTTCATAGTCGAAAGGCTTCACCTGCAAAAAACCATCGGACGGTTGAGATTTATCGGCCACTTTGGGAGTTTTTGTTTGATCTAGTGAAGGAAAGCACTTCTGGAAGCTAGAGGAAAGATCAGACAGTGACATGGGCTCGTCCCCCTCCTCGTCAGCTTCTTCCTTGTTTTCCGATTGTTTTTTATCGGAGTTGTCTTCATTGGCTGCTTCCTCGATATCTGAAACATCATCGTCTAAGACAATGATGTCTTCCATGGTTGAACCCGTGGCAGGAATTGAAGGCTCTTCTTTATGTGAATCTTCTGATGCCTTGCTAGGTGGTTCTTGAAAATTCTGCTGCAGTTTTTCATCTTTGCCGGTAAATGCATGGAATGGTAGACTCACTGTTGATTTTATTTGCTCCAGCTTTGTTTCTTCTTTTTCCTAACGATATTGAGGGTTAATAAAGAAGATAAGGAAAAAAAAAGGTCTCTAAATTGCTTACACGCAAGCACAAGCTAGATTACGTATTTACCACGAGAAAGAATGAACACGGGACATTTGCTAATTTTAAAATAAATAAACTTACTCTTTTATCAGTATCAAACTTCCTCTTTCCTGAATTTCCAAGCAATGCCCCGAAAGCTCGGCTTGGCTTCTTTAGCAACTGAACAGTTGCTTCAGCCTAGAATAAAATAAGCAACTCTATTAGACTTTTACCATAAGGATCTAGGTCGGTAGTACGCAATATGCATTAATGATTTTTTTATACACAAGAAACCAACTAAAGGACAACCATTTCTGCGTCATCAGAAAGTAAATTTTGGCCTTCAAATTTGCTGGGATTATATTTTATATGGGGTTTAGCCTTTTTCAAATGCATGAACTTGAATTGTAAAATATAAAAAGAAGTAACTTACTACATGTGATGCACTCTGATCACTAGCAGTAGTGTCATTTGTCTTTAGAGAGAACATCGATTTTTCTGGTTCGGCGTTAGCAACTTCAGCCTTGGCGCTGCTAAAGTTCTCGGAAACGTCCATAGGTTGTATGGGATCCAGTGAATTCTCAAAAGTTAAAGTGCTATTCTGTATATTATCGGCTTCCCCAGCATTTAATATTTCAGTTGCTTCAGAAGGCAAGACTTCAGATTCTTCAGTAGCCAAAGTGTTCTCTACATTCGCCTGCATAATATAATCACGTTTATCTTAGAAACATGTTATCACATATTGGTGTTCAAAGGAGCAACATAAAATAACAAAACGGAATAGAGGCCCAAGATGAAAACTCCGTCTACCAAAAATTTCTAAAGACCCAAATTCTTTTAAGATTATTATCTGACCAGGAAATAGCAGGCATTAACGATGGATTGAATTGACTATACTAACAAAAGCGTAAACAGATCATTCGTAAAACCACTTACCAATTCCAACTTTCTTTCTTTAAGCTGTTTTGAAGTCTCCTCAAATGCAGCAGCATTTTGGATAGAGTGCCTTATAATACTCACAACTGAACCAAGATTCCGTTCAATATATGGGTGCTTCGATTTCAAAGCGCGTCGAAGCTGGCTAGTGGTGAGAGGCGTCTGTTTAGCTTTTTATCAAACATAAAAAAGGGGCAAGTCAAAAGAAATGAACATATTGCAGAACATAAAGAAAGTTATAATTAATTGAGATATGCAATAGCTAATAAGTACCAATTTCAATAAGAGTCCTATTGGGCAAAACATAACCAGTGCTCTCATCTTCAGCACGAGCAACGACATCTCTCCATTCACAAAGTCCCTACAGACCAATTATGGGTTACATAAAAAGATCTAGATTAGTAATAAGCAAAAGTGCCAGTAAAATCCAGAAAACATAAATTCATTGTTAAGCTCAAACTTATAGATATACCAACAAATTACTGTATTACTGAAGAACACGTGAAAAGTCGGACCATATAACTAGTCACAAGAAGACAGGCCTAATGAAATAATCAGAAAAATGTGCAAGTAATGAACAGAGTACAGAAAAACTTACAGAAACAACAGCTAGCTGTTGCGCATTGAAATCGGCCCCTTGCAACCTGCATTACCATTTCAATAAGTAATCAAATCAGCACAATTGAGCACCAAGAGAGATGCAAACCAAAATTAGGAAACAGTTCCCATATGAAAGACAAGGTCCACGTCTAGCCGTCGTTAAAAACTGAAAAATTGAATCAATACCCATAAATATGAAGGTATGAAGTATCTGTAAGAAGCTCTTTTTCATAGAGTTGAGTGCATATATCGGAACTGCGTTTGTAGACCTACAGAAAAAACATAAAGATTAATTAGATCACAACCACGGGAGAAAATGGGTAGGGAAAAGAAAAGATAAGTTCAGCGAAATAACATTTACAGAGAGAGAGATGTGTGAGCCTAACAAGTCAAGCTATGCTATCTTATATTCCTTACTTTCTCACTTAGCTTAACAGTATTAATTTAACCTTCTTCTGATTAAGCAAGCTTGTTGGTTCATGCTATATTACACCTAAAATCCAACATAACAACCTCTATTTAAGATTGAGCTGTATTCAGATGAACTAGGAAGCAAAAAAATGCTAAGTTACTGATTTATTAAGATCCATAATACCACTGGCAACCATAGAATCAAAGTTTAGTGTCTTATTCTAACCATTATGGTTCTCAATGAACAATTTGATGACCTATAAACACATGAAAGTGATATGTTGACACTTGACAGTCTTCCAAACGGTTGATGATTTCAACTAGACAGTCCAAATTTTACAGACTCAGATACCGGAGTAAAAGTTGGGAATTTTTTTAATTATTTACTTATGTATTTATTCTTTGATCAGATACAACCAATCTATCAACCCCCAAATAATAATTCCCAAAAACCTCAATGTTTCAATACATTCATCAATTTGCTAAAGGATCTATATCTGTCAGCAACTCAATCACGTTCCAGGTATTACGCATACCTATGGAGTATGAATGTATGATGAAGCAATTTTTTATCACTTATCTTAAAGAAAATATCGTAACTGGAAGATTAAGCTTTTACTGGAGAGCAGAAATAATAACAAAAAAATTCAAAGAGCTTGCCTCAATAAGAGGAGGATCAGAACTTTCAGGATCAGTAGGTGATTCGAGCAACCTCAGCCACATAAGATCATAGATGTACAACAAATAATGTGTATCTTCTCTAGCATATCTGTGAAACATAAATCCACAAACCAACATTAAAGCAGTTATAGAAGCAAGAGATCTTTGAATCACCATGTATTCGACAAGGATAATCAGAACATTCCTTGCAACATTCAAATTAAATGGCTGAAATTGATGCTTTTAAAACAGGTGACCCAGCTGTAATTTTCCTGTTCTAATTACACGCAACTAGAATTCTAAAAATCTTTGTTAACGGATTTGACAACAGCCATGCACCCCACACCAATACACACACACAAACAGATGTATACAAAATATAAAACAGAGGCACCCACAAATAATGCTTATTTAATTAGCAGAGAAGGAACCAGAACCCAAGCTGACCATCTTACTGATAAAGCCTCACGAAAGCATAGGCCAGATTAAACATTTTGTTGGGAAATTTGACGATTTTGGGAGAAGGGGCGTGGTTTCCCCAGTAGAATTTACATGATCTAAAGTTAGAAAATTAGTATTATTAAATCCTTCACAGACAAAGAATCCACGCGGACATGCAAAGTAAGGGCAAAATAAGTAGCATAGACATGGGAAAGTCATGCAATGAACTTATAGCAAAAAAGTACAGGTTGCACCTATCACAAGCAACATTGAACTTATAGAGTAGAAGGTTCAGAATTAAAAAGTTCCAAGAGTTGCAGCATCAAGAGAAGATGTAGAATAATCATTGTTAAACAAAAGTGCTTGAAGAATACATACTTGATCATCTCACGGGGGAGTGGTCTAATTCTCCAATCTGCATTCTGGTATCTGTAGAAAATAGCTGGTTAGGGAAACAGAATTCCTTCCACTCTATAGACAAACATAATAGTGTATATCTTTTAAGAGCAAGAGACCATACTCTTTGTTTGCTGTAACTCCACAAAAATGATTCAATAGGTATTCCAAGCTGAACCTTTCCAATTTCAATACCCTTGATGCCTATTAACACAGAAGAAAAGTCGTACTCAACCACAGAATCAGACAAAGAACTTGAATAGTACTAAGCACGCAGACATAAAGAAAGAAAGAAAGAAAGAAAGAAAGAAAGAAAGGGGAAGAAGGTGCTTCAATTGTTTAAGAATCCATCAAAGAAAGAGAGTTCGCACATATATGAACATATACACTACAAGTCTACAGTAACAAAAGAGTCTAGTGCGACACTATTGCTTCGAGCCCAATGCTTTGCATCCTTTCCAGTGCTAAATATGTTTATCTTCACTCTATTGTCAAAGGCAATTAGAATGAGAAGTAATCCCCTAAAAGGCAGACCTAAAACAGGCATCCAGATCTCCACTATGGGCTGATCAAATAAGTTGACTAGAGTACGAAGTACATGAATGAAAAAAGAAATATTCAAATTGCTCAGTCCGTTAGAATGAATCATAATGAACCATATGACATTAGAGGTCGAAATAAACTAGTTGGTTAATTTGGGATAAATAACATAAAAGTACATAAAAGTTTATTTCCAAATAGAAAAAAGTAGATGAGTACAAAATTTCAAAAAAACAAATATCAGATTAGCTCAGAACCTGTCCAGTGTCAAACATATTACAGACGTAAATGCCAAAGTCTCGTTGAAGCCATATGATATCACGGTCTGCTCCATGCATCACCTAATTAAGCCAAACAGTTTTGTGACTGAGAAAATTAACTGAAATAACAATGAAACAAAATAATCTGCGTACTTACCTTTTTCTTAGTTGGGTCTTTGAATACTTCTCTGAGATGTGGACCAATGTGAATGCGAAGTTTCAGAGTATCTATAACAAAATCCTCAGTTCTTGTTGATATTTGCATCAAGCATGTCATCCCTTGAAATGACCTGTATTGGTTGTGTTCCAAATCAACCTGTAACACAGTATCCCAGCCCAAACTTACTATCAACAAAAAAGATTACCTTCAAATAATGTAATTCTAAAAACTATTTTCTATTTTATGCCTCCTCAACTCATTTTTTTAGTCAAATCCTCCTGCATTCACTGTTTCTTCATTTCTATTATTTCCACATTTTACATTCATAAACAAAAACTTTCAACTAGGATATGATTGAAATAAGAATGAATATAACCACGGCAGAAGAGATAGGCTTGGCTCCCGACAAAGAAATAATATTTAGAATAGTCGAGAGAGATCATGAATGAAATAACCTAGCAACATGTTATTCAAGCTCTTAATCAACAGCTCAGTGATCAAGAATTGCACTGGTGAATAAATGTGGAGCATACAAATATAAAAACACAATTGAAATTCTTCACTATTTTGTCTTAAAAGGTATAATAAAGACAGGAGGTAACCACTGTCATGTTTACAAAAAACTGTCTACCCTATATTAAAGAAGCTCCATCATCAAATGCATGTACTTCTATTTGTTCCATGTGGAAAAAATATGAACTGGTAAGTGGTAACAAATGAATGCCCATCAATGTACATTTATGAGCAATAAAAGGCACAAACTTTACCGCAAACTCATCAGCGCTTCGCAATTTAACTGCTAACTGCTTCAAATCTTTCACTTCTTCCACAAAATAGAATGGCGTATCTTCGAGTGAAAGAGGTTTTACAGGGTCGGCACTACTACTACTTTTGTCAACAAAATCAAGAACGGACAGCTTCTCCTGTAACCAAACAAGCAAATCATATCATCATTATAAACGATTTAACATTATGCTGCAATTTTAAGGAACATCCAATACTAAATAAACCAATCGAAATTTCTTACGAACTCACTAAACTAACATCAGCGAACGACAAAACATCCAAAACAATGTTGTAATAATCGGAAGTGAAGAACGAAGAAAAGCACGAAATTAAAGGAACTAACCAAAGGATGTACAAACTTAGAGCCATCCTCACTCCTCTGCAACCAGACATGCTCGAACGGCTGGTTTGTATTATTCACAATAATCTTATACTCGTCCTGCGGCCTCGGTATCGTAGGTATATGAAACGGAATCTTCGGCTTCACTCTTTCAATCACCTTCACTTCATGAACCGCTTTCACTCCTCCATTAACATTCCTCTCCGAACCTGCAGCCGATTTTTTATTCTTCTTCCCATAAACCATCTGAAACCCATCTTCTTCATCATCGTCCAATCTCATCGTCCTCACCCCACTCTCTTCTTCCTTCTTCCTCAGCCGCTTAAACTCATCCAACGACACATCGAATCTCTCGAAAATCTCGTCGTTCACGTTCACCAGCCAATCGAGCGCCACGTCATCGTCCAATTCGACACGCTTGTCATCCGGTAAAGGGATTGGCTTCCCGAATAAATTCTCCGACGCACCGACCTTCTCCAGCAGATTTTTGGACTTGTTGTCGATTTCTTGAACGGGGGTCTTGAATTCGTTGAAATTGTTGTAGAAATGGAAGTCCTTTTGCGACGGAATTATGTGCGACGAACCGGAGAGCTTCGCCAGGGAAGTGGGCAGCGCGCCCTTCGTCGAGAGATTGCGTAAGATATCAGACATCCTCGTACTTTCTTCTTCCGATTGATCAATTTCCATGATTAGTGTTTCGAGTTTGGCATTTGAACAAGTACGAATTTTTTTTATAGGGTTTTTAGGGTTTTAAACAGGGGAAAAGCTTATTTCTCTGATTTCTATACCGCCTTTACCGCACTGCAGAATGCTGCTGAAGAAAAAAAATTACAGTGGGGGAAATGTGATATTGATGTGCGGAACAGTGCGTACCGTACAACGTTTTGAAGCGTGCCCTTTTATTGTGAATTCTCTTTTTTACCCTTTTCAAATATTGGGATAGATTTTCTTTTTCTTTTTCTTTTTTCTTTTCCTTTTTCTTTTAGGGATAGTATAAGATAAGTTATGAGTTATGACTAGGGGTGCAAGTTGGAACGGATTTTCCAATTTCCGCCGGTTTCGATCCGAAAATTTCCGATTTTGGAACAACTTTTTTCATTCCGACTTCCAAAATTCCGATTTCCGAAATTTTCCGATTTTTTTGGATTGGAATTGGAATTATATAAAATAAATTTGGAATTTCCGATTCCGAAAAATACACCTATAAATAGTATATATTATATAATACTTATTTTCCGAAAAATACACCTATAAGTTTTATTTTAGGATTTTGACGTAATGTATTGTTGTTAGAAATTTTATTGGATATTATGATGTGTTTATTTTTTTTTATTTTTTTGAACTGAAATTTAGTAGTTATTAGTTTTACTTTTATCGACGTGGATGCTCTTATTTTCGAAAAATTATGAAGATTTTAGAAAATTTCGGCTATGTTTTGAAATTTTAATGCTTATGTGATTTCCGATTTTTTTCCGAAATTCCGAAATTTCCGAGCCTTTTGGAATTGGAATGAATTTTTAAATTCCGAAAATTTTGGAATTGGAATTGGAATTGATTTTGTACTTCCGAAAATTTTTAGAAATTTTCCGAAAATACTAATTCCGATCCGATCCATCCGACTTTCACCCCTAGTTATGACTAATGCAATTGAATTCTCAAATATTTTAATAACATTTTCTTATACTCCCTCTGTCCCGTATTATATGTCTTTTTAGAGAGTTTTTTTTGTCCCCAATTATTTGTCATTTTAGATTTTCAATGTATCATTAATTGCACTATTTTCAATTTTATCCTTTATCACTCTTAATTAGTTAGTGTAAAATAATTAATGTCAGGGATATATTAGTATTTTCCAAGGTTGTAAAAATCGGTAATCGGGTCCGAGTCGGTCAGGCACCGACTCACGATTAATCGGTGCGGCGGTGATTAATCGGTGATAAATCGAAAATAAATCGGTTTTTAAAATTTAATATAATATATTTGTAGATATTATTTATAAATACTCAAAACATAGATAAAAAATATTTAAACATAGTTATATCTCGATCATGTATATATTCTAATAACATAATAAAAGTTTAATAATAATAAGATCATAATACATAAATATCCTTATAAAATATAAATAAAAAGGTAATTTTTTTTGAATTTACATACATTCTTGGCATACATCATTAGTTCTTTAACAATAATAATTAACATAAACAAAATAAAGCATAAACTCATTTTTTTTTTATTAAAATCCCAACTTTTATTTTGATTTATAAAAAAAAAAAAAAAAAAAAAAAAAAAAAAAAAACCGATTTTTGCCACCGAAGTTTGACCCGCCTTAAAGGTTTGACCGCCTCGGACCGCCTCAAACCGCCTCACAGGCAAAAAACCGATTTTTCAAACCTTTACACTAAAATCGTAAAGGTTTTGGACCGCCTCCGCCTCGACGACCGATTAATCGGCCGCCTCGGCCGATTTTTAGAACACTGGTATTTTCCTATGCTTTTCACTATAATCTATGCATATTTATTGATTTTCTTAATACGTGTACAACAACCCAAAACGTCACTTAAGGGAGTATCTAACAAGATTTTAATTTATCAATATTTTTTACATATATATTATATATAATTTAATAATATTAATAATAATTAAATCATGACAGTATCGAAATGTGTGTTCTCTTATTTATAAGGCTCAAATGACATTCAAACTTAATATATATATATATATATATATATATATATATATATATATATATATATATATATATATATATATATATATATATATAAACTTCTATAAATTAATATAATTAGAGCTAGCGAAATTTTATTAAATTATCAAACTAATACTTTAATAGCTTTTACCTAGTCAGAACTAGAAAAAACTATTATTTAAATAAGATTATTAATTTATCGAGATTCTAGTAATTAGGTTTTAGACTTGAAATTTTAATTAGAATTGTTTCAGTCAAAGTGTACAGACAGACCAAACAGGTGTCCAATTTGTGACAAATAATCCAAAGTTTTGAGACATTAGCCATTGAGTCAAACTCACATTAATTATCTAAAAAAAGTAATTTATGTTTTATTCCCATCTTTTTTAAAGCTAGATATCCATTATGGTTCGTATCTTTTCGGAAGTTTCGAAACTTTGGAAATTACATAAGTTTAAAAAAAATGTTCCGGATTTTTTTGTGAATAGCGCGGAAAACCGACAAATAAAATAAAATTATGACTTTTGCTAACAATAAATGGAAAAGTGAAAAAATGTTATCGGCTTTCAACTCTTCAATATGGTCCATTAAGTAAAAATATAATTAAACTTTTTATTTTATCAAAATTATTTTACATAATTTTAATTCAATCCAAAAAAAAAAAAACGAAAAAAAAAATCGTCCCAAAATTAAAAGAAAAATCGAATCGAATCGAAACAGAAATAAAAATAAATAAATAAATAACACCACCATCCATTTTCTGAACTCATTCCTCCAATCAGTATGGGCCATGGTATAGGGCTTTTGGGAAAACTCCTCAGGCCCAATGTTTACAAGGCCCAAATGTGACATAATTAATTTAATTAAAGAAAATATTTATTAATTTTTTATTTTATTTATTAATGTTAAAGGATCCCGAATTTTTGTTCTTCATTTATTAATTTCACCATGGCAATATCTTTTTTAATTTTATTTTGTTTTTCTCTTATTATATTAACTTAAAAATGACCCCTTTTTTTCTTTTTTGAATATTATAACTTTATTGTGAATGCCAATTTTTTTATTCGTTTTCATAAAATTCATAAGTTTAACCATCGGTATCATATATTTTAAAAAGTGGATTAGGCTATAATGGTATTCTTGACCTTTGATCTTGTGATTCTGTTGACTGTTGTATTGACTTTATTAATTTATTAAGGAATACTACTTTGAGTGTGAATTCATTGATATGATGGTTTAATTAATATTCCAAATATAGCAAAAATAAAAATAAAAAAATTAAATAAATATTCCAAATAAAAACTAGGGTCATCTGCCTGACATAAAAATTGCAATTTATATCTGACTCCTCCACAACTCCAAGGGCCATTCTAGTAATTTTTTCACAACAATCATGCAATATACTCTTTAATTAAATAATTCGAATTTGTTGGATATTTTGGCCACTCCAATACTTTTTTTGGGATAATTGTGGAACAAATATCTCTAATTTTGACTAATCCAAGAAAATACTCACCGAACCTCGTGTAGATACTTTATAAAATACCATATTTCTTTAAAGCTCTATTTAAAAAGAAAAATGAAGGAAAATGGTCGAAATAAAATATATGGTAAAGTAGATGCTACACCTAATTATTTATTATTTATATCAGATGTTTGTTAATTGTAAATTTATACATAATTACAAACATACTTATTTGAATGTGTGCTTAATATGCAAATTCATAGGTGTTATTTAACCTTTATCTACTAAAAACAAATACACTTGGCGTGTAACATTTAATTACCGGGTAAATTACAAACTACAAACACCCCCTGAGGTAAGGTTAATTTACAAAAGAACTCCTCTTGTTTGGATAATTACATTTACCCTCCAACTATATTTTTTGCTTACATCTCCACCCTTATGGTGTCAAATTCAACATAATCATCTATATTTCGTGGAATGTGCTCTAGTTTGTACTCGTTTTGAGTAAAAATACAGTTTCTGATGTACCACAATCTGATACATACAAGCCAAAAAAACACATATGAGGATCATCTTGCTTCAAAATGTAGAGTTTGAAAGGGATAAAACGGGTAAAAAATGATAATATTCCATATAATCTCGAATATTCTACTAAATTTGAGGAGTTGAGGGGTTGTTGTAATTATCCAAGTAAGAGGGGATTTTCGTAATTTGACCGTATACCTCGTGGATGGTTGTAATTTATCCTTTAATTGCCCTAAAAAAATGAAAAGAAAAAAAAAACAGTTATGGGCGGCACGTGGCAACTGTTGGAAAACAGTGGGAACTGTTAACAAATCCATTATGCTTCATTTGGCAGTATTGTTTGCAATCTTGGGGCGGGAAATAAACTGCTTTTCTAGTTTCTACGCATGGTTTTCTCATTTCCATCTTTCACACTCTCATTTCAGCCCACAGTTTCTCTCTCTCTCTCTCTCTCTCTCTCTAGCCCTCTCTCTCTCTCTCTCTCTCTCTCTCTCTAGCTATACTTTCTCTCTCTACTCATATATCTTCCTTCTTCTCCCTCCAAACACCACCCACCATTTTCCTCACACAGTCACACTTTCTCCTGCTACATATCCACCCAACAATAAATATCTTCTCCTCCGTACTTGAATGAAGAAATTAACGCAAAATTAATAAATTAATTGGAAGATCATATATTTATACATATACAGGAATTTGTTGAGGATGATCATGACTGTAGAATCTTCTGGTTTGGTGGATCAAATCACGAAATCGGATCACGCGGTTGGAATTGGGGATAAGGTTATCGCGAAGAAGAGATGCGTTAAGAAGAAGGCCAGGCTTCAATTGAAGAGGCCAGCTGTGCGTCATCAGGCGGCGGCGGCCGCGGCGGCGGTGGTTTCTACAACTCTCCAGAAGGTCTTCGATTCCTGCCGCCGAGTTTTCAAGGGCGCCGCCGCTGTTCCTTGCGCCGCCGATGTGCAGAACCTCTGCCGTATTCTCGGTGAGTGAGCCGACACGCACAATTTGTGTTGTTTCTCCATTGTTTTGGTTATAAATTGGGGGAAATTTAAATTTGAAATTCGTTTGGATTGAGTTTTTAATTAGGGATTTTGAAATTTGTTGGTTTTTTTTTTTTCTCTCTCTATAATTTGATTTAATAGGATTATTTTGATGAAGCTTGAAGAAACAAGCATTCTCGTCGGAGTAAAATATATAAATATATGGTTTGTTATATGCTAAATCCGATGAACTTTTTCGTGTTTTACTAGGGGTGCAAGTAGGAGCTAAATTTCCAAATTTCACTGATTCCGATCCAAAAATTTCCGACTTCGGATCAAATACCTTCATTCCAATAACTGATATTTCGATTTGCATTTTTCGAATGTTTTTGGATTGGAATTGGAACTATATATACGCAATTCTTTTGGAAAATTCCGATTTCCGATCTAACTTTGATTTCCAGTCTTTTTTTTGGAATTTCTCCGAAAGGCTTGTTTCCGTTATGATTCATCGGACTTCCAGCCCTAGGTTTTATCCTATCAATTCACACGTTAGTAGTGCATACATCCATGCATACTTTGCACACGTACATACACACTGCCATATCCATGTGTATATAATATATACATATATAAAATTATCCGATGTATTTCACGAAAACGTAATCTTGATATCTGCATGAATACAATTTGTTTGTAGATGGTATGATCCCAGAAGATGTTGGACTTAGTAAGGATCTACAGTTCTTCAAACCGAAGACTGAGGCTGAAGGTACACCAAGAGTTACCTCAGCAACCATCTACAAAGGCAATAACTTTGAGGTAATAATATATTAATATATATCACTTCACATAATTTATTACATAAAATTACGCTCGATTAACGATCTTCGAACCATTTATGATATTCTTTATGCAGTTGTGCATTTTCTTCCTTCCTGCATCTGCTGTTATACCACTTCACAACCACCCAGAAATGACCGTCTTCAGCAAGCTTCTATTGGGAACCATGCACATTAAATCATACGACTGGGTCGATCCACTCAACTCCGATTTCTTGATTTCACCTTCCAAATGTAAGTCATCTATCGATCTCCGGTGTATGTCTTGATTATGTAAAATAATGTAAGATGGATTTTAACTAATATATATTCACAGCGAGACTAGCGAAGCTTAAAGCCAATAGAATATTCACAGCCCCATGCGACACTTCTGTATTGTATCCCACGTCGGGAGGAAATATCCACGAGTTCACTGCGATAACACCGTGTGCATTTCTAGATGTGATTGGTCCTCCGTATTCTAAAGACGACGGCCGTGATTGCTCCTATTACAAAGAAACTCCATGCATTAATTTGTTAGGTAAATGTTTTTTTTTTTTGGATTCACCAAATGCTATGGTATATATATATATATATATATCATTAATTCTTTTATTTAAAAACTTTTTTATTTGATTTTTTAGATAGAGAAGAAATTGAAGAGTATAAAGCGGATGGTAGTTGCTATAGATGGCTTGAGGAAATCGAAACCCCAAAGGAATCGGAGATGGATGGAATCGAGTACATGGGTCCGAAAATTATCGATTCGACTGCGTAGCTTTCTTGCTTCAGTTCTTCGTTTTGCTTCGTAATTTTGTACATATGATCCTTTGTAGAATCAAAAGTTGCAATGACTTGTTGATGGTCTCGTCATTAATACAAGAAGGTTTGTTGTCAGTGTTGACGAAAATTGATACCAAATTGTCTCTTGTTCCTTTTAATGTGTAAAATTCTTGTCTAATTTCTTTTTTTGCAGGAAATTTTCTTTCATTCGTTACATGTGTGTATTTTATAAATTGATTCAATTAAAACTGCATTTTATTCATTACATGTGTGTAAAAATAGTAATACACTGCATGATACATGTATGTATTGATTGAATTCAAAGGGAATATCAAATATGTATATATTGCACCAATATATACATATTTGAGTGGTCACTTGGTGAGTAAAATTAAATGCCACTGCATCATAAAATCAGTAGCAACCCTCCTCGGCTGTAGGGCTGAGTAAAAAGGAAAATTACAATCTTACCGTTAAAACAATAACTAAATTTTGTTTGATAAGAGACTATACTGACAATTTACACATAATATCAAAAGGATCTAACAAATTTAATACAAAATATAATCTAAAGAACCAAATTTCTTATTAATAAAATAATTAATTAATTAGTAGGGATCCAATCCAATCTAATTTTATCCGATATAAATAAGCAAATGAGGTCTTAGAATATTAATATATTTCTTATGCCATAACTTAAATCAATTAAGTAAAAGTCCATAAGTAACTCACTAGAAACCCGGGAAACAAAGAGAAATATGCGCACAAACCAGATATCCAGCCACAAAAAGAAGGATCAACTCTTTAACTCGATACTCTTGGATGCAAGAGTTTATCATCAGGACTTCTGTTTTCTATAATAAAATATTCCCTCAATTTAGCATAACTAAGATTCAAATATACAAAGTCATTATCTTTATTTATTTATTTTTTAATTTCTTATTTCTAAAATTATATTTAGTTAAATGGGATTTTGGGCCTACTAATAATTTGATATGTTTCGGCCCAACAGAAAACAAGTCCTTCAAGCCCATGTGCTGCTAAAATTACAAACTTCAGGGAGCTAGATGTAATTTATAAAAAAGAAAGGCTACTTTTGTAATTACACTTTATTTGAGGGAGGTGGATGTAATTTTATTTAATAAATTCTTAAAGTTGGAGGTTGAAAATGCAGAGTATTTAAGGTGGACCGTAAACAAGTTAGGTATCTTTTTGATAGCATACCACCGTCCGATTCGGTCCCATCCCCTTTTTGTTTTTGTCTTTAAATTTTTTTTTTAAAATATATTTTTTCTTAGTAAAATAATTACACATATTCATATTATTATTATTATTATTATTATTATTATTATTATTATTATTATTATTATTATTATTATTATTATTATTAGTATTAAATAATGTGATAAAGATTAAAATGAGAGAGAGAAAGAAAGAGTGACGATGCCAAAGAGGGTCACAGCTAAGACAGAGTACATAATTAGCAAATTGTCCAAAATGCTGATAGTGAAAGCTCACTGTGCTGCCGGACAATATCACCATCAAATTCATATATATTCCTTCATATATAATATTAATAATAATTCATTTTTCCAATTTTAATAATAACAACATAGTAAATAAATTAAAAAAAAAAAAAAAAAAAAAAAAAAAAGGGGGGTTTGGTTCTCTTCTGCAAGAATCTTTCTCTGTGGCTTTGGCTTTGCCTTTTCCTTTTTTGTGGTTCACGACACCATTAATAAAGCTTCCTCAAAAGCACTAAAAAACATGAGAGAGAAAGTGTTCTAGAGAGAGAGAGAGAAAGAGAGGTAGTTAGCAGTTTCACAGAGTTTAATGAAATCCACGTCACTCCTACTTGTCTTCTTCTGTGCATGGTCTGAATATCAGAACAACTTCCTTCCAGTAGCTTCTCTGCTTCATTTTCTTTTTTTACTTCATCTTTTTTTACACAGCATTTTTTGGAGATTCCTAGGTTAATTATTTGTGGTTGCTTCATTTCAAGATTAGTAGTTGGTGAAGTTCAGTATCACATGATTTAAAAAAAAAATTAAATTTTTTTTTCAGTTAGCTGGTTGCTTCATTTGAGGGTAATTGGTAGTAAAAAAAAATTTCCTACCAATTAATGAAGGCTTAATTATATTCTGTTCCGACCAGAGTTTCTTCGAACATTTCGGTTTCTCCAGAACCTCGTTTCTGCTGCTAAGACTAAGGTATGTTTTTTTAAGTTTCTTGAGCAAACTGACTGCACACGCCATTTTCGACATTCTTGATAAACTGAGCAGAGCTTTTGTGGCTAATATTATTCAGTTTTTTCTCGATCAGAATTATACGATAAACCACTTTCCACGAATTGAATGGCGAAAACCCGAACCGAAGCCCTCCCGTTTCTGTTCATCGTTTTGATTTCGATCTCTTACACAGAGCAGATACAGTTACACTCGTCCCAAACAGAAACCCTACTCAGAATCAAATCCCTCCTAAATTCCCCACCTTCCCTTCACAACTGGAACACCACCACCGATTTCTGCAACATCGATACCATCGTTTGCTACGAACAGAACATAACTCAGCTGCACATTGTCGGAGATTCAAACGCACCTCGATTACCTCAAGACTTTTCGATCGATTCATTCGTCACCACTCTCGTAAAACTTCAAAACTTAAAAGTCCTAACATTAGCTTCTCTTGGCCTGTGGGGCCCACTCCCTAACAAACTCACTCGTTTATCCTCCCTTGAAATACTAAACTTGACCTCGAATTTCCTCCAAGGAAATATACCGACTGTTATATCATCGTTCAAACATCTTCAAACATTAATACTCGACTGCAATAACTTCACCGGTGGGATTCCGGATGGGATTGGTTCACTTTCCGATTTGGCTGTTTTGAGTGTAAAGAACAATTCTTTATATGGATCTTTGCCTCGTTTGTTGGGAAATTTGGTAAACCTAAGAGTTCTTGTATTGTCTAATAACAATTTCTCCGGCGAAGTACCTGATTTGAGCAGCTTAACGAATCTTCAAGTTCTTGATTTGGAGAACAATGCACTTGGATCTCGGTTTCCAGTACTTGGTGATAAAATCGAAAGGATTGTACTAAGGAACAATAGATTTACTTTCGGCATTCCAGACAAAGTTCGATCTTACTATCAGCTGAAACTCTTCGACGTTTCTTCCAACAGATTCGTGGGCCCGTTTCAGTTATCTCTGTTGTCTCTACCATCAATCGCCTATATAAATATTGCAGAAAACAGATTCACTGGATTGCTGTCTGAAAATCTTCAGTGCAACGATGAGCTTTATTTCGTGAACTTCACTGCAAATCTATTGACTGGAAAACTACCCAAGTGTTTAATTTCCGAATCTAAGAAAAGGGTCGTGCTGTATAGTGACAATTGTTTGTCAACCGGTGACGAAAATCAACAGCCGGTTTCCTTCTGTAAGAACGCAGCTTTCGCTGTAGGAATATTACCTCATTCTCATAAGCAAAAACGAGCTTCTAAAGTGATTCTTGCTTTGAGCGTATGTGGAGGAGTTATTGGAGGGATAGTTTTAGTTGGGGCAACTTTTTTGGCAGTCAAGAATCTTCTTGCCAAGAGGGCATTACAGAAACCTACGACGACAGAAAATGCTTCGACGAGTTATACATCGAAGTTTCTCAAAGATGCAAGTAAGTTTCTATTTTTCGAATAATTATTCGCCACCTTAAAAAGGTGGTCTTTTTATTCGAGAGTTTTGAGTTTGATTTTTGTGTGTAGGATATATAACTCAAGCAATGAAGCTAGGAGGACTCGGTCTTCCTGCTTACAGAAACTTCTCACTGGAAGAGCTGGAGGAGGCAACGAATAACTTTAATACATCAACTTTCATCGGAAAAGGTTCTCATGGTCAGGTATTTGTTTTAAGGTTATAATTTTTCTTGCATTTTTCGTTTTTCATTTTTCAATTTTTTTTTTATCATATTTTGCTTCGTATAATCAGATGTACAGAGGACAACTGAGGGACGGATCCAGTGTGGCGATTAGATGTCTTAAATTGAAAAGAAACCGGACCACTCAATACTTTATGCCTCACATAGAAATGATTTCGAAACTCAGACATCAGCATTTGGTGAGTGCCATCGGGCACTGCTTCGAGTACTACTTGGACGATTCGAGCATCAGCAGTTTATTTATCGTATTCGAATACGTACCAAACGGGACCCTCAGAAGCTGGATTTCCGGTAAGTAGAATTTACCAGACGGTTTTAACGTACTAGGTTATTACATTTGGATGTACTAATTTTCACTTTAAATATTTCTACGCAGAAAGGCGTGCGAGACAAAAGCTAACCTGGGGTCAGAGAATAGCAGCAGTTACAGGGGTGGCAAAGGGTATCCAGTTTCTACATACCGGGATTGTGCCGGGTCTTTTTTCGAATAACATCAAAATAACAGATGTTTTATTAGACCCGAACCTCATTGCCAAAATTAGCAGCTATAACTTGCCTTTGCTATCAGATCATATGGGAAAAGTACGTCGAACGAACTTTTAACTGTCGTGTTTCAAGAATCATTATTATATATTGCACAAATGTTCTAAAATCTTCTTCTGTTGTTAATATTATTACTACAGGATCATCTAAAAAATTTCCTCGGCGGTTCAAAGGAGTTCAAGACCTCAAGGTTTTTGACTTTTTTCCACTTTTAGTGTTCGGATAATGCAAGACGTAAAAAACGACACTTCATGTTTTGAAGATATTCGTTGTGTTGACTAACAGGGCAAAGCATCAAGATAAGCTGGATATATACGACTTTGGAGTGATTTTGTTAGAAGTCATCTCGGGGAGGCAAGTAAATTCTAGAAACGAAGTGGAGGTAGTAAAAGATCAGGTACTAACTACTAAGTTCACTACAATTTGCTTTCGAATTTCATCGAACAAAGTGAATCCATATTTTTTCGGTCTTACACGAATTTATCGAACACAAATTTTTGACAGAAAACAAATGAACTAAAGCTCTTACCAGGTTACTTTCTGACATATGATTTGCAGTTACAAGCCAGCACATTAGCTGACGACGCATCAAGAAGGAGTTTAGTCGATCCAGCGGCTCAAAACTCGTGCTCGAGCGAATCAGTGAAGACCATGATCGAGATATGCTGCAGATGCTTGCTTAACAATCCAGCCGAAAGACCTTCCGTTGAAGACGTTCTGTGGAATTTGCAGTTTGCAGCTCAGGTTCAAGATATATCTCAAAGCAGTGAGACCTCTCCGGTTTCTCCCCTGCAATCTTCACGCTTAAAAACGACTATCAAATAATAGACAATGATAAAAGACGATCTCTCAGCTTGTGGGATATATCGGCCAAGAATATTTTCATTGTTTTTGCAAGTTCAGTTATATCAACTCCCACATAAATAAACCAAATCAAAATATGCAATCGCGTGTTCTTTTACCTGTCGATGATTCATGTATCTTCTGAAGGCAGAATGCCGATACACGAAGAACTACCACAAAAACAGGGCTGCCCGTTCGGTTTGATCCCAACTTCCCCATAGCTAAAAGCGAGCTCTTCGTTTTCTCGAATATCTCTCGAAGCAAATAAGCAAACACGTGGCAGCAGAGAACCGGAGCTTCTCACCACCACCATGTCGAGATTCCCACCATCGCAAGAATGGTTGATGAATCGAGCCACATTTCCGATTCTTGTGGCATCTATGTTGATCCTCATGCATGTGTTGCCCGATGGAAGATGCTCCCTCACGACTAATAGTGCCGGTGAAGATGCGATTTTGTCGTAGGTTAGCTGCCTTTGTCTTGCTTCTTTTGTAGACAATAACTCACCTTCAATATAAATAATTACAGATCAATTTAAAAATGACAAATCCTAATACTAATTCAGCAATTTGAGGCACCGGAAAATTACCTGCGTACTCGCAGACAAACTGTCCGGTGGTAATCAACTCAGCCGCGTGCAAACACCACCCTTTTCTCTCATCTTTCACAATCTTCAATCTGACTGTAACCCCTCCTTCAGTGACCCGATTCCCGCAACCCGAGTCGCACTCGCAACTCGGCCCGCATTCCCGGGTCAGCAAACACTCGTCGGCTTTTGAGCAGGGGCAGCACTCGCCGCAGCCGCTAGGGCAATTGCACCCGGTGGCGCCCTCGACCCGGAATAGAAACGGGTCTGGACGAGCCTCTAATCGGGCGTCGTCGTCGGAGCCCCATGGCTGGCGTAAGTCGTCTCTTACCCGGAAGGTCTGCGTGGGGGTGTAGATGAAGTAGGAGTAGGAATGCGAGACGGCGGCGGCGGCGGTGGGTTTGAGAAACGGGATTGGAAGGTTCTCGAAACCTCTGGAGGCGTCGGAGGTTCTTCGAGCGGTTATAGGTTTGGAGATTTCGTACAAGGTTTTGCAGGTTGATGAAATGGAGGATAGTTCGGTGGGGTTAAGGTAGGGGAGGATCACGGCGGCGCACCGGAAGAAAGCCTCTTGAGAATGGCGATCGCCGCTCTTCCTGCAATCGTCCATTTTTCCGTCGCCGTTCTCCAATCCTCGTTTCGGATTACAAAGACTACCCCCAACTTTTCGAAAGTTCCTATTGTTGCCCAATTTTTAGAAAAAGACGCATATCTGACCCATTGCAACATTTATATTTACATCATAAATCGCATCCACATTTACGCTAGCCACAAATTTTTTTATTAATAATTATTTAAACTGGGAGGGATGGTTTTTTTGTAATTTTCAAACTTAGATCAAACGGTGTTAATGTCAAAGGTCTGAAAAACTAACGACGAGGGCCACATTGAGATAATTTTTCAAGTACAGGGGGGCAAATCGATGCAATTGAGAGTAGAAGGGGGTAAAGTGATATCGAGCCAAAGTACAAGGGAGCAAATCGATGAATTGAGAGTAGAAGGGGGTAAAGTGATATCGAACTAAAGTACAAGGGGGCAAATCGATACATTTGAGAGTATAAGGGATCCAACCAAAGTAAAGGGGATAAACTGGAATTTACAACCCTATATCATGGACAAATTTGAGTATCGTATTTGCCGGTACATTTATGGGTAAATGAGTGCTTATCGACAAATGCACTCTTTATATAGGTACGTTAGAAATTCAAAATTTTGCACGGCAAGAGTGGTCTAGTTGGTGGATCGTTTTCTTTCTGGAAAAAAAAAAGTTGCAAAATGGGGTTTTCGTAGCGACACGAAAGTGAAAATTAAATGGGAGGAACTGTATTTGCATCAAAATAATTCGATTTCTTGATTTTTTGGAGGTAAAGTTACTACCACTTTTCTCAAACAATACCACAAAGAAGCAAACTTTTGCCATTGGTTTCCATCAAACTGAAAGTTAAATGTTGCAATTGAAGAACTTCTCACAATATGACGATAAGGTATCCATCAGACTCGCTAGGGTCAAAAAAAAAAAAAAAAAAAAAAAAAAAAGAAGAGAAAAATCAAATCAAAACGGACCATTTATTCTGTAATACACACTTTAGCTTGTTCGCGAGTGTAGCATCAAACAAACCCATTAATAGTCCCAAGTAATAAGTACAAGACAACAAACCACATTCATATTTACTCAATTCAAAGAGAATTGAACAACCAAGCAAATGATTTATTTCAACTCGAGACATGTAATAAGATTGAGCACCTGTTTCATACGATAATTCGCCTCCTCAAACCTAACAAACATAGATGGAGCTAAAACTCTGACCAATCACAGTACCTAAACTATGTACATTTTATAGAAGTGTCGAGAAAATCAATCATAAGCCCCGTGTATTCATCCAAGGATACACATCCATGGGAACCTCCACAAAGCAACAAAGAAAATGAAAAAAAGAAAACGAAGAAGATACACTCTTAGGTATATGATATGAGGCAAATAGTATACCATGGTATGTTGCATGTAACACGAAGCAACACACTCGTACAAAGGCTTTCCCAAAAGGGAGCACAATGTTTCTTCAGTCTCGTTTTTCATCATTTTCCTTGAGAAACAAATAGACTTCGATCGTACTCAAAGATCGATCAACACACGATAAACCTAATACGACGCATCTAAATCCAACAGAATGTTCATCGCCTAGTACAGATCAGGGTTTTTTCACAGAGCACCGCAGTTTAAGTAAGCACCGTCTATGCAAAAAAATCAAGAATTGATTTCACATTCGAATTCTTTTAAACTATTAGGCAATGTAGTATCACACATATAACTTATTGGATAACGGACAACAAGTTATTGTTTAAACGGATCCGACTTATCACAGAATCGAATTAACTCAGCATTAGACACCAAAGTATAAAACCATTTAGTTATGCATCTAAGTTCTCTGGAAAATTCAAAACTCTCGATTCCGAATCAAATTTAACCTTCCCCTAATCCGTAGTATTATATATAAATCTCATAAATAAGAGTCGCATTAATCGAAAAAGTTGCTAAAATCCATCGTTATACAAATTGTAAACCGAAAAAAAAAGAAGGAAAAATTAGAACTGAATCAGCGAAGATAAGCAGGGATCTTAATGCGGATAAAGAGCATACTCATAACATAAGAAATCACGACGAACGCAACACCAGCTGAAGCATACGATACCTTCACACTCTTCGCCCGATTTTTATCCATCGCCAGATCCAGGAGCACGATCCCGATTCCGCCGAGCATGAACATGAATCCGGACGACAGCCCCTCGATGATGTACTGACCGTTGACCCGACCCGGGAGGAAGACGACCGGTCGGACCGCGCCGGTGAACCGGTCCTGAGTGGATCCGATGCCGGGTGGCTCGACGATGACGTCGTAGACGATTCCGGAGACGACCATGAAGTAGGTGAGGAGGATTAGGGAGTAGACTGTCATTGCGGATGGGAGGGTGAAGGTCGGCAGCTTCAGGCGGAGGCGCGGCGGGCGGAGGAAGGAGAACGGGAGGATTTGGATGACGTGGAAGAGAGGGTCGATGGATCCGGATGATGGATCGTGGTGGGATGCGGCGGCGGAGGTGGCGGTGGACATTTTTTTTGCGCCGGTGGACGAATTGGGGTTTTTTTCCTCGGTTGGGTCTTTCACTCACTCTCCACTCGCTGTGTGTAACTTCTTCTATTTTGACCTCGATTTTCTCTTTTTTCTTAACTAATATAATAAATTATAAATTACACCCATCTTTTTTTCAGAAAATAAAATAAAATTACACATATTCTATATGTATATTTTTTTTACAATTACACCTATTTTATATTGATGTAATTCATGTACACGTTATTATTATTATTATTATTTGGCTAAATTACAACCACCCCTAAGGTTGATCAAATTACGAAAACTCTCATTCTGTTGGGGTAATTACAACCACCTCCATCAACTATGAATCTTCTTACACGTCCACCCTTGCAGTTTCAAATTTAGTGGAATCTTCGAGATTATATGGAACATTATCACTTTTGAACCCGTTTTATACCATTCAAACTCCACATTTTGAAGCAAGATGATCATAATATGTGTCTTTTGGCTTGTATATATCAGATTGTGGTGCATCAGAAACTGTATAATTACACAAAACGAGTACAAACTAGAAGCACATTCCACGAAATCTAAATAATTATATTGAATTTAACACCACAAGGGTGAAGGTGTAAGAAAAAATTATAGTTGAGAAAGTAGATATAATTATCCAAACATGATAGCTTTTTTTTAATAAATTAACCATACCTCATGGTCTCATGGTGGTTGTAAATTACCCTTATTATTTTAATAAATATCAAATGAATGAAGTTAGGCTAACATCAAACCTCAAAAAAGTATCCATAATTTTTTAGATTAGAGGGGTCTATCTATAATTATATCAAACCTTCGGGAAATAGTGTAATATCTAATTTAAACTCAACCCCTGACTTAATTTCGATAACTAATAACTAATGTAACACGGAAACTTCAATCTCTTAATATTTTCGCGTTTCGAATATGTTTTGTCCGACACTTGAGAATAATTGTCGAACATCTTACGAACTATTTTGTAATTTCTAAAAAATTAAAAATACGTTGGAATAGTAAATTTTTAAATTTTTTTTGTTGCTTCCTCAATTATTTATATAATTTAAATTGATAGTTGATAGTGAATTTATTTTGAATATATTTGTATGAAACTATATAAAAAGAATTTATATGTAAATAAAAAAATTATATTTATTTATATAGCATATTTATAAATATACCCCTATACTTTAAATATTTCCCTCAAACTCCCGTATCTCCACTTTTGGTATGCTGTTTTCCCGTATCATCGTTTCTGTGTCTGTGATACATCGGTAATAACTTACCCAAAAACTAAGGTTGGTTTCGAACATTCAAACGATACTTCAATATATAATTTGCAAACAATATAAACTGTTAATATTACAATACAATATTATGTATTGTATTGTAAGATATTCCAAAAAGTAAAATGAAAAAAATTCATTCATATAAGATAAAAGAACTCATATATATGTACCGGGCTAACAAGATCTGGTTGCCTCTCCCATGCATACAAAGTTCACAACTGAACTGTGAAAAGAAATATATACAAGAAAAAAGAAAAAAAAAAAAAAACTCAAAACAGTACTAGAAGCAACATACTTTAAAGTACAAAAATTTACTGCACATAACTAATTAAAACCTATTTTACAAGAACGAGGACGACGGACGTCACAAACGAGAACGTACGTACGTTCTCGTTTCCATCCTCACTAATTAATCAAACAGTAGATTAATTAAATCTCGAGTACACACACACACACACACACACACACACCGAATAATAATAATAATTCATCTCGAAAAGTAGGTCTTAGGCGAAAAGAGCCTCCTCGGAGAAAACATGCCCATATACCTAGGCGAAGCCATGCCATCGATCGATCTATAACTCGGCATAATAAACCCTTCTCTATCCCCCGCGGGCAAATTCACGCCGTTAAAAGTCCCACACTTGGCCAACTTCCCGAACCACGAATTCTTCTTATTGCCATGTGAAGCCTTGCTCGTACCGTTTATCTTATCGCACAAGTACTCCTTCACCATATTCAACCCTTGCTCGAAAATCTCGGCAGGTGGCGAAACGAGTGGATTCCCTTCCACGCTGAGCTTCTGCAGCTTCTTGAGACAGCCGATGGAGTTCGGTAGGGCCGTAATTTTGTTGTAGCTCACGTCCAGTTCGACTAGAGAAATGAGGAGGCCGATCGAGTACGGGAGTTCGGCTAGGTATTGGAAGTTTTGGCTCACGTTGAGGATTTCGAGGTTGATTAGGTTTTCGAGATCTTCCGGAAGGCTCCGGAGGCAGTTGAGGCGGGCGTCGAGGACTCGGAGGTTCGTGAGGTGGGAGGTTGAGTAGGGGAGGAAGACGAGCTTGTTCGAGTTTACGGAGAGTTTTTTTAGGTTTTGTAGCTCGAACCCGATTGTGTCCGGTAGTTGGCTTAACTTGTTGAAATTTGCATTCAACTCCTCAAGAGATCTGCATATAACAAAAAAAATGTTTTTTTTTTAAATTAGTCTAAATAATTGAGATGGTAAAATAATCATAAAATACACATGTATTATTTTTTAGGTTGAATTTTAGGAATAACACATAAAAAAGACTTGGAAGATGCTTATAGAGTTGAATTAATTTTCTATAGTATCGACAGATAATATGAAACAAAATATATTAATTTATATATATATAAATAAATAAATAAGAGTGGGTGGCTCAATTATTTTAGGATTTGGATGATCAAAGAATGTAAGACTAATATAAGTTGACTTTTTGTACACCTAGTGATAACCACTTGATATAGTTGATATAAGATCACCAAATAAAACTATATATATCTGATAACTTATTGTTTTTTTGTGTTCTAATTTTTTATTTTTTGGTCCACACATAATTTAAATATGAAAATTAGACAGGCTGGGGGTAAAGATGACAGCCAATTAAAACAAAAGAAAAATTAAACTAATCAACAAAAAGACATGTTGAAGAACAAAGACAAAAAAAAAAGATATTTAATATCTAATTTATATACAAAATTAAGGTACGAAACATTGGCTTAATAATCAATTAGCAGACATATTCACGATGTTTAAGTCCAGGTTCGTAATCGGACGTGAGACGAGACAAGGACTCGAAGAAAAACATTAAAGTAATTAATTAATTAATGCGCAAATTAAATTAAATTAAATTAAATTAACCTGCAGTTTTCAATGGTCCTAGGAAGTGATTGAATAAGGTTGCCTGATACATTCAAAACCTTGAGCTTTGACAAACAACCGATCGAATTCGGGAGTGTTTTGAGCTGATTGGATCGCACGTCGAATACGATCAAGTTCAGGAGCCTTGCTGTCAATGATTCTGGAATATTCTGTCAAATATAACGGAACTTAAACACCGTTAGGACATCATGTTGAGAACTAGTGCATATCATGTATTTTCAGATGGTGTGACAACTAATTAAACATAGAAAAAAAAAATACAAATTAGGAACAAAATTCATAATTTATTGCAATATAGAAAGCTTGAACCTTGAACCAGATTTCATTTCCATAAAAATTGAATTATCTCAGGTTATAATCAGATTATACCTTATATATATATATATATATATATATATATATATATATATATATATATATATATATATGATAGAATTTTTTTTAATTAGCCTTTAAAAGCCTAATGGAAACTAAAAAAACAGCAATAAATTCATAATTTGACCATAACTTCCCTTGAAATTCACTTTTCTTGAAAAAAAAAATTATAAACAAGAAATTAATTTAATTTACATAAATCTTTGAGTAATTTCATCGTGACGAAAACATATATAAACACACCTCTCTCTTTGGCGAGCAAAAAATAAAGAAGATGATTAATTATAAATATTATTAATAATTAATCAATAATTAAATAATTAATAACCTGGAGATTGTTATTAGAGAGGTCTAATTTGCAGATGGCAGCTAAATTGAGAGATGGAATAGGGAGTTCATCCAAAGACATCCCACTAAGGTCAACTATTTCCAGCCGTTGATCTTCCTCTACTCCATTCCCAGCCGTTGATCCGCTCCTCCTCCTATTACTATCCACCTTCACCTGTGATCTCATCTTATTCCTCGCACTATTCATCATCGTCCTCACTTGCTGCTGTTGCTCCTCGTACATCATCTTCACACACCAAATATATATACATATATATATATATATATATATAGAGAGAGAGAGAGAGGTAGAGAGAGAAACTTGAAGAAAACAAGGAAAAAGAGGGGTATTATCTGTAAATATGTCTATTATAGTAACAGACAGTACACATATACTTATAATGGGTAAAAAATAAAAACACACAAGTGGAATATGAATGTGGGAGGAGCGTGTATATATAGAGAGAGAAAGTGTACGTACGGATGAGAGAGAAAGAGGAGAGAGAGAGAGAGAGGAGAGAGAGAATTATATTGGAAAGTACAAAGTCCGTATATTGCGTACTGACGTTACCTACTCAAATAAAAGTCAACCTCCGTTTTTATGTTACAGTTGTGGTGTCCGTAAATTCCGCTTGCATTTTTTTTATTATTATTATTTTATTTATTTATTTATATTTCCACTATATGTAGTAATGTAAAATAGTTACTATATAGTATATTATATAGTATATATTGTGTTTATACTTTGTCAGCTCGAATTTTATTCCTTCTTAGCTGTATTTAAAATTTAATCATATACTCTATTTGGTCTGTCCGTATAAGCCGTATAGGACAAGAAGAAAATCACTACTTTTGATTCGAAATTATTCGTTTATTAAAAAAATGTTTGAGCTCGATTTGTTAATGTAGTGAACGATATTGAATAAATATTTTTGTTTAATAATTAATTAATTTGAACTTTAGCTTGAGATTGATTAAGATAAAATGAAAAAATATGTTGAAAAAGTTAAGCTACTCGAGTTTTATTCATGTTCAGCTCGATTAAAACTCGTTTGAACTCGATTGCTATGAAACCAAACTTTTGAATTGTTTTGGATTTTTTTGTTTGAAAAGCTTAACAAATACAAACTAACTCATTTCGAAAAAATAATCAAATTGAAATAGAAACGAAAGCTAACACTGCCGTCATTTTTTTTAGATATATAATTTGTGATTCGTCAAAGTTGCATATAATGGCTGAGAATGAAATATTTGAATATTATGGTTTTCAATTCGTCAAAATTACATTCGGGGTTTTATTTTACTTTAATTTGAAAAAAGAACAACATAATATTTCAATAATTTCAGAAATCAAACAAAAAAAATTTATGGACGGCAAATATATGACAAAATTATTAATAAATTATGCATATTGGGATAACTCAAACGTATAATTAAAAAAAAATAAAAAAAAATAAAAAAACCGACCGGGGAAAAATATAATTAATATTGGGCAGAAGAATCTAATAAAAAAAGATGTTGCATAGTCTATGATTATACGGTAGTACTCTCTACATTATTAAAATAAGACAAATTGATTATTAAAATTGATTATTAATAATATTAATTTTTTAAATCGTGAGAAAGACAAGTTAGCAAATTATGGAAGTCAAGGGGTACTACGCACGATTTCATTATGGGGCACAAACTTTGGTGGGTTGTGAAATTCCGTGAATATTAATTCCCCATATCCTTAAGCAATATTGTTCGGTTGAATTAGGGCTGACGATCGGTGCATATGAACTGAGTTTTGTCGGCATCAATACTATACATTCAAGATTATATATCATCGGACTTTATTATTATATTTATAGGCTTAAACTTTATTTATGTATTTTTCTTCGAACTTTGGATTTATGTCGGGCAGTATATATATAAATTACATACTACGCAGTCGAAACTCGAATGTGTTCCAAAAAAAAAAAAAAGTAACTTCGAAACCGAAGAGCAAAATCTAAAGTATCTATAAAAAGTAAAATAAGATAAAAATTATAGTTTGTTCCTTGAAACAAATAAAATTTAATGTGGCAAATGTTTATTCCCTAAGTAATTATATGACAAAAAAGCATTAGAGTCCACTTAATTACTTTTATTTTGACTTTTTTTTGTGAAATAAAATAATTTAATACGATTGTAACTTGTAACTTGTAACTTGTAACTTGTACGCTGAGCCAAAATAAATATATTATATATTTAATTATTAACTTAATCAGGTGGACCTTATTCGAATTAACCATAGCAACTTCAAACTCAGCTCATAAATGAAACGAGTTTAATAATAGGGGTCTTAAGATATAAGTCCCTGGTGACAAACCTTATTAGAACTAAATGACAAGTCTAACTAAAAATTGCTTCACATCCTTTATTAAATTCATTCCAAAAATGCCCCTCCACTCACAAATTCGAAATTACACCAAATTGTAAATATACTATGATAAATTACGTTACTATTTAACATTTTTAAGTGTGCATCTAGCATTTTTTTTTTTAATTTTTACGTGGAACACGTTTTTTTTCCGTATTTTATCATTATATAAAAATCTATTTTTTCCCCTTCTATTCTACATAAAGTGAAAATTATGAACTCTTTTTAATTTTTTCGGTCGTAGACATCTTCAGAAACCCATAGGAAAGCGTAGTAATCCGTAGTCACCCATAGACATCTTGAAACCCTAACTCCTCCTACAAACCCTAACCGCTAGACCCATAAACACCCATAGACATCCAAATAGATTTTTTTTTTAAATTTTCCCCACCAAACCCTAGATTCCCTCCTCCATCCACCACCATCCACCACCACCACCATCACCGAGCGCCGCCATCACGCCATCATCCATGCCCAACATTGTCGTCGCGCCTTCCACCATAGATCTGACCTTAAACCACCATAGCCGCGGTCTCCTTGCCTCTACAACCATCCGCTTATTGCCGCCGTCTCCACCGCCATAACCACCACCCCCTCAATAGTGGATTGGAGTGGTGCACGAAAGAGACTGAGAGAGATAGCGATATTGAAAAATAGAGAGATAAAGATTGAGAGAGAGAGAGCGAGAGAAATAGACGAGACAGAGAGAGAGATTGAGAGACGGAGAGAGCGAGATTGAGAGACGAAGAGATTGAGAGACAGAGAGATTGAGAGATTGAGAGACGGAAGAAAAAAAGAAAAATAAATTTGAGAGAAACGTGACTTTAGAATTTAGAATTTATGAATTTAGGTTAAGGGTAAATTAGGGATAAAAGAAAAATTGAGAATGTAACTCATATTTATTTTTCTAAAAAGGATTTAGTTAATAAAAAATATTAAGGTTATATTCCACATCTAATAATGTTTCCAACTAGGGACCTCTAACATATTACCCCTTAATAAAATAGCTCAAATTTGGCCGGGCACACAATAGCCAATCCTTGGTAGAATTTTGATTTTTCTCACTGTATAAATAAATTTATGTTAGCTAAAAGTTTCAAAATATTAATTCAAAATGTGTTCAACATTCAGAACTTTATCTTCTCAATCATATGATTTGACGTTACATTAAAAAAAATAAAAAGATTCACTAAAAACAATAAATATAAATTTACTTTTCGAAATTTTATTCTAAGATACATTTATTTTCAATATATTTAAATATGATTTAATTGTCTAATTGCAAATAACTCAGAAAATAAATGTGCATTAAAAAATTAAACAAATATTATTTTTATTTTAAATTCTTCTTTCTCAAAATAAAAAAATAAATAAAATAAGTCTCAAAACACTTCATATGGGATAGACATGCCATTAGGTCAACATAATCAGATCACCATTTGGAGAATATGCTCCCAATTTATTACCGTGGAGACTTTTATTTCAATATCGATTATTTATATTCAATTTTATTATCATGAATTAATAAACACTCAATTTTACTTTTGACTAATCCAATTAAAAGGCACCACATTTTGGACTGTTTCACTTTAGAAATGATTTGGAAGTTTACTTGGAAATGGAAATTGATATTATTATTTTTCTCTTACTTTACACTTGTTAATTATAATAGTGCGTTGACTTGCACATTGTAGTTTTGGAAATTGGGATACGAAATGTTTTTTTTTTATTTTCTTGAATAAGATAATTTAAATCCAGAAAAAATAACTTTTAAACTTTATTAATTTTTGGGGTTTTCTATCTTGCTTGCTTGTAATATTAGTAACACCCTAGCTCAAATAAATAATAATAATAATAATAATAATAATAATAATAATAATAATAATAATAATAATAATAATAATAATAATAATAATAATAATAATAATATTCTAAGTTTTGATTGAGTTTAAAGGGCTTCATCTTAATTAAACCAAACATGAAATAGAAACCGGCCCATTTAGTCTAGGCCTATTAAAGAAGTAATATATATATATATATATATATATATATATATATATATATATATATATATATACATACATACATAAAATTTATTTTTCAACATGTAAGATATTTTTAATGTGTATCAGTGACACATATCTTCCATGTTTTATTTAGTCAAAGAATTCCTTTAATTTGACCTTCGGATTGGGGCGGTAGATTCGACGTCGTTTCATGTTAAAAATATTGATTAAAGGCTATGCAATGGAATATACATCAAACCATGATGTGTCACACAAACTTTGCGAGAAGCGGATGTTGAATGCCGAACAATTAAGTCATTCAGTTGATTTGAGGTAAGTAATGGTTGATTTCTTTCATTTTCCATGTTTAAAATGCTCGGAAACATGATCAAAAGAGACGACATCGATCCGTTTTGGGTAATTTTGTTATTAATTTTTGTGGAACTTTCTCGATTTTTTTGGTTTTCTGGTAAATTTTCATAATTCGATGTAGTTCGATTGCGTACAATCATTCAATTGGTTTTGATTTTGATTGTCACTCTACTGAATGGACTTATTTTGATCTCCGTTGTTTTTCTTCTTACATTGATTTGGTGATTGCAAAAGAGGGGAAATCGGCCGGACATCGACCGTATCGAAAGAATAAAGTAGAAAGATCGAGGGGAAATCGGCCACGCTTCGACGACATCAAAAGAGTAAAGTAGAAAGATCGATAATATAAGTTTTTGTTTAACCCAATTAATTAATGTTGCATTTATCATGATCTTGTGATTTTTTTTTTAACTAATAAGTATACATGCCATAGGAAAATAAACATATATATATATGATTTTAATTAAATTATCACAATATTATACAAGCACATGTTTCATATTCAAAAT